GTAATTCCTCATCCCAACACCGGAGAGGATGAGCCAGAAGTAGACAGACAATGGTGCCAGCCACCACTCCTGCCCAGGGCCAAAGCCAAAGAGGTGCAGAGCCACAGGTGCTGTGGGTCTCAGAGACATTTGTGTGCCATCATCTGGTCAAACCGTTCCAATCTGTCACCTCTGAAATTTATTCTGGTGCAGGATTTCTTCTGACAGAGGGCACAAAGACGCTATAGTCATGTTAATAGGGAGCAAGAGCTGTCAGACAAAATATGGGAACAGACTGGAGGCAGAGGGGTGGGTGAGGGGCACAGCCATGCCCCACACTCCAGGCAGCAGCTCTGGAGAGGGAGAAACACTCACTTGTGCTAAACAAAACCCATCCACTCTCTTACACCCTGTCCTGGGACCCAGAGCATTGCTGAATCTGAACATAAGAAAAACAAATCCAGTTAACATTCCCTCATTTCAATACTCCATAAATCCAGGGAAACGTTAGAGCTGCCACCTTTGCTACCAGCTGTTCATCTGTCATTTAGCGCTGGCACTTCTATTCCTGTCTCAAATAGCTTTTGTCATTTTCCTTCCAAAAAAGCAGCATTAGTCAGCGTTGTGCCTCCTCCTTATCTGAATATGACACATATGAATGCAGGTCATGGGAAAGCAGAGCTGTTATCAGAAGCACAGGAGGCTTTCCTGTAAAAGAAAAATAGGAGTATTTTGTCTTAAAACACACTAAATTCTCTGAACTCAATGTTTGTAGAAGTGGAAAATTCTAAGAGGAYCCGAGCTTTTCTTTTGCATCTGCCAGGGCCCAAGAAATTTCATACATTGCTATTACATCMTGCAATAGATTTAATAAACTTGCCATCTAAATAGGCAAATTTAGATGACTTTAAAAAAGCATCAATAATTAATTTAAGACAGTGATAGCAGAGTTAAACGCTTTGTTTCGTGCAAAGCTTTGTGCAGGCCTTAAGGAACAATCAACAAACACAAAGCCACTCCTGCTTGCCTGGGACTTTTCCTGAAAAAGCAACCAAAATTCTGAAGGTGTGAGTACTGTTTCAACCCATTAAAGGCATTTTCCCTCTGTAGCCTCAAAATCCACAGAAATACACTGGTTTGATTCTCGGGGTTTTTTTTGAAAGAACTCTCACGTGGAAGATTTCAGTGCCATTTCACCCCATATTCAGTTTTCACCAGCCTGAGGAAGAAAAATTGAGACTAGAAGGGACTGAACATCTCACCCTGCTTGCTAATGATTGCTGTCTTTTTAAAGCAAACACAGAAGCCTCCACTGTTATCTGTAGAGTGGTGTTTGGGAGTTAAACTCTTTCTATTTCACTCCTCAGATTTGATTTTTCCAAGCTGATTTCTGTCCTGCAGCAGCACGGGGGTGAAGTTTACACCACAGCTCTGTCACAGGATGCATCCACAGCGTGAGAACATTCCCAAACAACCTCACACCTGCAAAGGAGGAATCGTGACTAATGCTCACTGCCTCCACCACACGCCTGGTGGAACTCTGCCTCACCAAAATAACCAACCCGACTGCTACTGTGGGTTATAAACTGCACTTTAACAAACAAAAATGGGTCATTTTCTACAATGGGCTGCCAGGGACGAGACAGCCTTGCCCGTGCGGTGTCTTGGCTGTCGCGGTGCCGGTGATGCTTTGCCTACAAACACAGCGGTGATGTTCAATACCGAATATCGACGGCTGAGATTTTCATGGGAAGGTGAGGGCAGGAAACCAAACTAATCCTGACTCGCAGGGCACAGCCATCCCCATCCAGGGACTCACTCGAGCGCAGGGAGGTTCCTCCTCTGGGAGTGATTATTTTTTTTTTTTTCCCTGGGCACACTCCCTCGCTGGTTTCCTGTTTCCTTCGAGAAAGGAAGAGAAACGGAGGCAGCATCCCCTGAGCAGCGCCCGTTCCCACGGAGCGGAGCACTGGAGGCGCCGCCGGCAGTGGGGCCAGCGCCACCCAGACCCCAAATCTGGGCACACGGAGACCCCAAGGACATGGACACGGACTGGGACACACGGACACGGACACACGGACAGGGACACAGGGACAGGGACACACGGACACGGACACGCGGACACACGAACAGGGACACACGGACAGGGACACACGGACAGGGACAGGGAGACAGGGACAGGGACACACGGACACACGGACAGGGACACACGGACAGGGACATACGGACAGGGACAGGGACACACGGACACACGGACAGGGACACACGGACAGGGACAGGGACACACGGACAGGGACACACGGACACACGGACAGGGACACACGGACAGGGACACACGGACAGGGACACACGGACAGGGACGGAACAGAGGGCGCGACCTGGCCCTGCAGAGTCGCGGGCGGCCGGGAGGCGGCGCCCTTGCACAGCCGCTGCCCCCGGCCCG